TGGCCTTGGTCAGGAAGGGGGGGAAATCCTCTGGAGGGCAAGGGGTTAATAATGCAACAGACCCTTCTGTTAAACTGACAAATTAGAGCTATAGTCAAGTCAAATCAAGATAGTGTTCATATTTTATTTCATATTCTGAAGAGAACACCAACATTTATCCTACACATGGAGATTTCCCCTCTACATGGAAATACAAAACATTAACAGGTGAATCCATGCAGAACTAACCTAGAGCTAAAATATTTAAAAAAGAAACTGTCATGTGATTAATGTAAGCTTTCATTACGGGCCTCTCTTTTTGAGACGGCTGATCCCCTGGTTGTCATCCCGATGTACTGGCTTCAATATCTCAAGTCAATGACCCAGATCAGATATAAAAACGAGGAATTCAGATATTTTTCCCACACTCATTTACAGCATGTTTGTTCCGGGTCTCTGACTCACAATCAGGGATAGGGATACTGGAGGTCCTCCCGGGTCAGAAGGGGGGTCTGGTAGGGTCTGCCTGCAAGGATAGGCTCACACCTAGGTGTGCTTATGAAAAATATATACTAAACTTAAATGCCGCTGAATGCGTACAACAGCATGGAAGTGCAGCTGCATCTGCTGCCATACTGTGCTGTACAGGGGCACAGAGAGATCCCATTAACCTTTTCATCGATCAGAACTCCTCTACTTATGACAGCAGCAGAACGTGGGAAGGGGAATGTAAAAATGATATTGGCGACTGGCAAGTTTAGTGACATTGCCAGTGCTCTTCATGTATTAGAAAAAATGGGGCTGTGCACTGAAAGATAAAAAAGGTGTACCTGCATGAAAAGGTAAAGGAGGGGACCACTGGGACATGCATATATTTACACAGAGCCATGCCACCAAGGAGGCCACTTGAGGCAGTTGACTCCGGGGGCACTCATGTAGGCTTGGTAATAGGTGGCACTGAGGCCAGAGAGACTACATTGAATACTGCATCTATGGTACAGCTCAGTAATACCAAGCCTAGCAAAACCACATTATACCTGCCTGGCTGCCGCACCTGTCACATTAGCAGACGCTGAGGTTCTTCAATGAGGTGGAGCCCAGCTCCAGTAAAACTAAAACTCCTCCCTTGTTGTGAAGCTGTGTCCTACTTGTTTGTCTAGGGCAGGGGTGCTCAACCCGTGGCCCTTGACCTCAAACTGAATGCAGGAGTTTTGGTGTGCTTTCAGAAAGTGTACCACACCTGCAAGGTTTGGGGGTGCAGTAAAACCCGATAGTTAAGACATTTTTACCGAAACCCCCCAACCACTGTTGTGGCGTCCCATGCTCCAGGGGACCTGTGTGGCCTCCCTGTCACATTTTAACTCTTGGACAGGAGAGGAGGCATATATTGGAACCAATTCTCTCCATTTTCCTCCTGCAACTGCTGAATGCTGGCTTCCCCTCTCCCTCCTGCTGGCATTCAGCGCTGCATGAGGAATCATTATGTTATTCATAATAAAAAAAAAACTTGATAAAAAAAACTTGAAATTATGAACCATTTTATTGTGGCCCGCAACCGGTTACCAGATAAATAAAGTGGCCCTCGCTCTTCAAAAAGGTTGAGCACCCCTGGTCTAGGGGATGGCAAAACCATTTTACTTACCTGATCCCTATGCACTGGTGGTGGATTATCCCCCAGCATCCTCACGTCTAGTGCATGGCTATGGGCTCTGCATTGGTCCTGATTACATTAAAGGACTTTAAACTGCTGGAAGAGCTGGAGGAGAAGACGCTGTGGAGACTCATCTAGCAACGCAGAGGATCAGGTATTTAAGAATACTTTACCAAATGTCCTAGACCAGGGGGCTCCAAATTTACTTTTCAGCACAAGTGCCACATCATATGTTTTACAAATATTTACAGGATGAAAAAAAAATCCCCAGCAGAGTTCCCCCTTACTTCACTTTCATTAGTGTCCTCATTAAAGATTCCCGTTACATTGGGGGGGTGGAAGAGGAGACTTTGCTGACTGACTCAATCCTCCAGCTGTGCACATTAAGTATCTTCACCTGGTATGCCTTCCAGTTTCACGGTTCACTTTGGCCATTTGAATGGCCGGGCTGTGATGAAATCACTCCCACACGTGTGAAAGCCACAGCTGCGCTCTCCAATCCATGGCATACTGTGTGGTTTTTATGTGAATGCAGTGTCACTGCGCATGCGATGTGAATATTTCCCAAAGTGTATGTTTAGGATATATTCAGTGTACCATCACATAAGCTTGATTGGAAGCATATCTGTAGGTACACATGCACTCACAGGGTTAACTACCACTTTAAGCCCTGGTTCACATATATGCGGCCGTGCGGGCCGCGTTTTGCGCGGGCACGAGAGCCCATTCATTTGAATGGACTCCCATGCCCTGTGAATGCAGAGAAGCCGTCCCTGCACTTCTTCTGAAAATGCAGCCCGCACAGGAACTTCAGTTCCCAGTGCGGTTACGTTTTGCAGTGTGGGCGGCATGCCATTAGAACTAATGGCACCCGCCCGCGGGTCCACATTCCTCTGTGCGGGTGGTGCGGCTGCACTGATTTTCGTGCGGATTTGCAGCGGCACCACCCGCACAGATGTGAACCTAGCTCAAGTGATTGCGATTTCCCTATGCTGTCGAAAGACAAACGCTCTTTTAAAATAACAAAATGTAAAAAGCAATGCATGGTGCAGGTGTGAATGGGGCCTAACAGTGCAGATTTAGCCCTGGTTTACATTAAATGCAAGTTTCAAATTTATGATTTCAGAGCTGCAGATCAGTGCGATCTGTACCTCCAATTTCACTGTGGCTTGCAAGTCCATTTAACAGAAGTCAATGCAAGTCGCAATGAAATTGCAAAAAAGGAGCGCAGGAATTATTTTTAAATCGGGCTACTTCAAATCGCACTGATTAAGACAGTGCCATAGGAATACATTGTATTCGACTTCAAGTGCGATTTGTAAATCACATGTTGCACGAGTGTGAACCAGGGCTTAGTGTCGCTGAGTACAGCTGTGTGTCAGTGGCCTGGTAGTAAACTCTGCTCTGTGACACGGAAAGTGGTAGTAAACTTGTACCTACAGGTAGCCCTATAAGAAGTCTTATCTGTGGATATTGTGAATATCTCCTACATGTGGTGTTTAGAGTTTCACTGTTGCCGGCACATGTGCTCTGAAGAGACCGCATACCTGTGCCATCCCTTCTCCGTGCCACAAACTGTGCGGGAGTGATGTAATCGCAACTCAACCAATCCGAAGGACTGGAGCCAGAGAACCTGGAAGGAAGGCGAGGGGGAAGATGGAGACTCCGTCAGTGGTGACAGCGTGCCACTGGAGGGCTTTGTTCGAAGGTCAGTATTTCATACTGTGCTAGTACGGGAGGCATACTATCACGTCATGCCATCGCCTTGCGGGGGAGTTTTATTTTTTGAAGGGCTGCGATTTATTATCGCTTTAACAGCACTGGGTGCATGCGCGCACACACACTTATGGGCCCCCCCCCCCCCCCATCTCTTTGCAGTGTGGAAAGCAGCAATAATGGCCGCCTCAGGTGGCATCCACCTCCAGCACAGCCCTGTGTATACATATACACCCATACAGAGGCGACGCTGGGACCTGGTACTGTGATTTGTCTCAGGTTATGCTGGGATCTGTAGTTCCCTCTGCCATTATGCAGTCTATGCTGGGACTTGTAGTGGGGGAAGGGCTCCGATGATATCTGATACTGGAGTCAAACACAGCCAGGCCTCTGGCATTTTCCAAAGGAGCTCCACAATGACTGCCCACATACTTCCCTATAGGAGGACTGATCCCTGAGATGCGTTGGTGACCATCAGATCACATACAGAGAATGACGTTGTACTGAGATATGGAGATAAGACAGGTGTCAGGGAGTTCATCCTTCTCCTCAGAAGCCAATCCCCCGGGACTGACAATGCAGTACCATAGACCTCCATTCATTCTGGATGAGGCCTGCTACACGTCCCTAGCAACGAAGCCTTGGTTACCGGCTCCTATAGGGGTCCTCCCCCTCATACACACACTACACCACCCCCGCCACGCTACCGGCCTCACCTCGCCCTGCTCCCTGCACCGGACCGGCACTTCTTCCGGCGGCGACCACGGCCAGCTACAGCGTGACGTCACTCGCCACTTCCACCAATGTTCTCCCAAGGAACGGAGAACGGGGCGTGGCTAGGAAGCGCCGGTATGACAAGAAGGCGAGGTGTGCCCTGCGTACGTCACGTTGATGGACAGCGGAAATTGTGCAATGGCGGAGGAGGGGGAGGGGGCCGTTCTGGAATATTCTGTGTGGTGAGGAGGGAGCTCGGAGGATGGCTGGTGCCCTGTGATGATGAGTGAGGAGAAGTAAATAGAGAGCAGGTCTTCTCCTGCACGGTGTGATGTCCTTTGGTCTCTCATTCGTGAGGTGCACATCTGTGCAGCTTGCTGTTGATGCGTTTTTCTGGCACATTTTGCATTGCGTTTTTGAACACATTTTGGACGCTTTTAAGGCCCGTTTTCACATGGGCGTTCTGTATGTCCGATTTTCATTTCTCTGATGGAAAACTGACACCCATTATTTCTATAGACTAGCGGATGTAAATGGATGATGATCTGTTTACATCTGTTAACCACTTGCCTACCGGGCACTTATACCCCCTTCTTCACCAGGCCAGCTTTCACCGCTGTTGCACTTTGATTGACAATTGTGCGGTCATGCAAGATTGTACCCATATGAAAATTTTATCATTTTATTCTCACAAATAGAGCTTTCTTTTGGTGGTATTTAATCGCCACTGGGCACTTTTTTCACTATAAACAAAAAAATTTGAAAAAAAAAAAAAAGTTTCTTTGTTTCTATTATAAAATTTTTCAAACAGGTATTTTTTACTCCTTGACTGATGTGCATGGATGAGGCAGCACTGATGGGCACTGATAGGCAGCACTAATGAGATGTCACGGATAGGCGGCACTGATAAACAGCACTGATAGGTGGCACTGACTGGCATCACTGCTGGGCACTGACTGGCGGCACTGCTAGGCATTGGTGCAACTGCTGGGCTGCACTTCTGGGCACAGGTGGGTGCACTGCTGGGCACAGGTGTTGGGGTGAATCTGGTGGGTGGCACTGCTGGGCACTGATCATCAGGGCACTGAGCATCAGTGCCCTGATGATCGGTGCCGATCCCTGCTCTGACAACTGCTGGTTCACGGCAGTACATTCCTTGCGCTCTGACAGCGTGAGGAAAGTGCAGCCGAGAACCGGCAATTGCATTTCCCGGTGATCAGCGTGTCATTGGACACGGCTGATCACGTGGTAAAAGGCCGATGTGATTGGCCTTTTACCACATCCCGTGATCAGCTGTGTCCGTAGGACATGGCAATCACGGAGATCGCCGGGTGCGCGCCCCCGGAGGTGCGCGCCCCCGGAGGTGCGCAGGAGAGTGCGTTCTGGGAGGACGTCATATGACGCCTTTCCAGAACTGGCTGGCCGCAGTGTAGCCGTCATTCGGCTATCTATGGTTGGCAAGTAGTTAAACCCTATTTTTCTTCCGTTAAAAAAAAAAATGGAACGGATAAAAACAGATGCAAATTGATCCATTTTTTCTTGGAAAAACATGACTGAACTGATGAAAAAGACAATGCCATGTGAAAGGAGCCTTAAGGCGTTTTGTGGAGGTTTTTCTGACTAGTAGGAAAGTATGACGGTTCTGTTCTCGTAGTGTGACTTTGATGCGACTTTACACTCTCTGGCACCCAAGTAGCATCAAAGTAATGCAGGAACCTTTATGTGTCCAAAGCTGCATGTTAGGGTTAAGGGCAGCCCTGACCCTAACATTTCATCCTAGCCCTAACCCTAACATGCGACTTTGGACACAAAGATTCCTGCACTACTTTGATGCTACTTGAGTGCCAGAGAGTGTAAAGTCGCACTACATGTAAAGAACTGTCATACTTTGCTATTAGCCAAAAAAAACCCCGCAAAACATTAAAAACTTTTATCAGTTTCACACTCTCCCTTCTACCTTCCATGCCTCCAACCAGCAGTTACCTATAGAAACCTCCATCACCTCAGCCTTTCCCTTCTTCACTCTGCTACTGAGTGCCTTTATAAAATTGCACCCCTGGCCACATCTGCCTACAACAACGTACTATCATCTTCCCTGAACGCATTTGCTCTCCTCTCTACACGCAGAACCAGGCTGTTCCTGTCACAACCCTGGCAAACAGATGACACCAGAAGTCTCAAAACTCACAGCCATGCTCTTGAGCAAGCGTGCCGTAAAACTAAATCCCTGCAAGGCTTCACACTCTACAAATCCACCCTTCTCAAATACAACTCCACCCTCCATGCTGCTAAACAAACATACTACAACACTTTCATACAAACCCTCTCATCCAATCCAGGAAATTGCCCAGGAAATTGGCAGTCATTTCAAGAACAAGATCAACACAATTCGTGATGAGATCAGTGTCAAGCCTCCTCCTCCAACCAATAAACCAGACCCAACACCACACTCACACTCAATACTCTCCTTCTTCGACCCTGTTACCACCAAGGAAGTTGCCAAGCTCCTTTCCAAGACTTACCTCACCACCTGTCCCTTCATGATTATTGCTGCCTCCTTCCTGCTATATCCTAAACTCTCAAACTCTCGGTTCACACCTGTGAGGGCGGTGCCGCTGTGGGACCCGCACAAATGCCTGCAGCCGTACTACCCACACAAAGGAATATGGGACCTGCGGGCGGGTGCCATTAATTCTAATGGCACGCCACCCACACTGGAAATCGCAACCGTACTGGGAACCTCGGTTCCTGTGCGGACTGCGATTTCCAAAGTAGTGCAGGGACTTCTTCCCTTTGTGTCCCAGGGCACAACCGCGCAGATGTGAACCAGGGCTAAGCCACATCTTCAACCTCTACTGACACCATTGCCTCCCCGCTCAAACATGGTTACCCCCATACTTAAAAAAACCGTTGCTGGACCCCACCTGTTTGAATAACTTAAGACCAATCTCCCTGCTCCTGTTTGCCTCTAGGCTTCTTGAGTGCCTTGTTCACAATCGTATGAATTGCTACCTCACCGACAACAACCTTCTCCATCCTCTACAGTCTGGCTTCCACCCACAACATTCCATTGCAACTGCCCTACTAAAACTTACTAACAACCTACTAACTGCTAAAATCAATGGCCATTACTCCATACTTATACTCCTAGACCTCACGCTGCCTTTGACACCGTCGTCCACACACTCCTACTCAGTAAGCTCCACTCCCTTGGCCTCTAACTCTGCTCTCTCCTGGTTCTCCTTTTACCTTTCTCAGCGCACGTTCAGCGTCACATACAACAACTCCTCCGCTACTCTTTCTGTTGGGGTACCCCAAGGCTCTGTCCTTGGGCCCCTCCTTTTCTCTCTCTACACCTCCACCAGGGCCAATTGATAACCTCCCATGGCTTCCAATACCACCTCCATGCTGACGACACCCAGATCTATCTCTCCACTCCCCAGCTCACCCCCTCAGTCTCATGTATCACAAATCTAATGTGCGCCATATCAGTATATTATTATTATACAGTATTTACAGTGGGGCAAAAAAGTATGTAGTCAGCCACCAATTGTGCAAGTTCTCCCACTTAAAAAGATGAGAGAGGCCTGTAATTGGCATCATAGGTAGACCTCAACTATTAGAGACAAAATGAGAAAAAAAATCCAGACAATCACATTGGCTGATTTGTAAAGAATTTATTTGCAAATTATGGTGGAAAATAAGTATTTGGTCACCTACAAACAAGCAAGATTTCTGGCTCTCACAGACCTGTACCTTCTTTTTTAAGAGGCTCCCCTGTCCTACACTCATTACCTGTATCAATGGCACCTGTTTGAACTTATCAGTATAAAAGACACCTGTCCACAACCTCAAACAATCACACTCCAAACTCCACTATGTTGAAGACCAAAGAGCTGTCGAAGGACACCAGAAACAAAATTGTAGACCTGCACCAAGCTGGGAAGACTGAATCTGCAATAGGCAAGCAGCTTGGTGTGAACAAATCAACTGTGGGAGCAGTAATTAGAAAATGGAAGACATACAAGACCACTGATAATCTCCCTCGATCTGGGGCTCCACGCAAGATCTCACCCCATGGGGTCAAAATGATCACAAGAACGGTGAGCAAAAATCCCAGGACCACACGGGGGGACCTAGTGAATGACCTGCAGAGAGCTGAGACCAACGTAACAAAGGCTACCATCAGTAACACACTATGCTGCCAGGGACTCAGATCCTGCAGTGCCAGACGTGTCCCCCTGCTTAAGCCAGTACATGTCCGGGCCCATCTGAAGTTTGCTAGAGAGCATTTGGATGATCCAGAAGAGGATTGGGAGAATGTCATATGGTCAGATGAAACCAAAATAGAACTGTTTGGTAGAAACACAACTCGTCGTGTTTGGAGGAGAGAGAATGCTGAGTTGCATCCAAAGAACACCATACCTACTGTGAAGCATGGGGGTGGCAACATCATGCTTTGGGGCTGTTTCTCCGTAAAGGGACCAGGACGACTGATCCATGTACAGGACAGAATGAATGGGGCCATGTATCGTGAGATTTTGAGTGCAAACCTCCTTCCATCAGCAAGGGCATTGAAGATGAAACGTGGCTGGGTCTTCCAACATGACAATGATCCCAAACATACCGCCCGGGCAACGAAGGAGTGGCTTCGTAAGAAGCATTTCATGGTCCTGGAGTGGCCTAGCCACTCTCCAGATCTCAACCCCATAGAAAACCTTTGGAGGGAGTTGAAAGTCAGTGTTGCCCAGCGACAGCCCCAAAACATCACTGCTCTAGAGGAGATCTGCATGGAGGAATGGGTCAACATACCAGCAACAGTGTGTGCCAACCTTGTGAAGACTTACAGGAACGTTTGACCTCTGTCATTGCCAACAAAGGATATATAACAAAGTATTGAGATGAACTTTTGATATTGACCAAATACTTATTTTCCACCTTAATTTGCAAATAAATTCTTTCCAAATCAGCCAATGTGATTGTCTGGATTTTTTTTTCTCATTTTGTCTCACATAGTTGAGGTCTACCTATGATGCTAATTACAGGCCTCTCTCATCTTTTTAAGTGGGAGAACTTGCACAATTGGTGGCTGACTAAATACTTTTTTGCCCCACTGTATATGGCGCCAACAGTTTGCTCAGCGCTGTACATTATAATGGGAGACAGTACACGAGACAGCACAGTGACAATACAATACAAAACACGAGGGGTTCAAGGGCCCTGCTCCTTGGAGCTTACACTCTAGAAGGGAGGGGAGAGTGGTACAGGAGAAAATAGCTGTGGGGGATGGAGTGGTGGGAAGAGTGGAGGAGATGGGCAATTAGGTGAGGGCGGGGTAGGCTTCTCTGAAGGTTTTCAGGGTGCGCCTAAAGGTGAGGAGGGTAGGTGACAGTCTGATGGATTGGGGTAGTGAGTTCCAGAGGATGGAGAAAGCCCTGGAGACGGGCATGGGAGGAGGAGACCAGGGAACTAGAGAGTAGGAGGTCTTGTGAGGAGCGGAGAGTGCATTTTGGGTGGTAGATGGATATCAGGTCGGTGATGTAGTTTGGGGCAGTGTTGTGAACAGCTTTGTACGTCAATGCTTAATAATTTGAATTGTATGCGTTGGGCAATAGGAAGCCAGTGGAGGGATTTGCAGAGGGGTGTGGCAAATACGGAGCGGTTAGTAAGGTGGATGAGTCTAGCCACAGAATTCAGGATAGACTAAAGCGGGGATACCCTGTGTTGAGGTAGGCCAGCGAGGAGGGAGTTACAGTGGTCAAGTAGTGATATAATGAGGGAGTGAATTAGTTGCTTTGTAGTTTCTATATAGATGTCACACCACTACCTTAAAGTCAATCTTTCTAAAACCGAAGCTTGTAATATTTCCTACTCGCCGATCCCCCACTCATGACTTTTTACATTAAGATCAACAGCACAACCATTGGTCCTTCTCCTCATGCTAGGGAGCTAGGTGTAATCCTAGACTCTGACCTATCTTTTGGCCCCCACATCCAATCACTAGCTAAATCCTGCCACCTCAACTTCCGCATTTCCTAAATCTGCCTCTTCTTGAATAATGACACCACAAATCAACTTATCCTTGCTTTGGTTATATCCTGCCTTGATTACTGTAACTCCCTCCTCACTGGCCTACCGTTACACAGGCTATCCCCCATTCAGTCTATTATGAATACTGCTGCTAGACTTATACACCTTACCAAAAGTTCAGTGACTGCTGCCCCTCTCTGCAAGTCCCTTCACTGGCTTCCACTAATCCAATGTATTCAAAATACTATAGGGCAATCTCTCTCCAAATGAATAGTGGTGTACAC